TGGCGGGCGGGGGGGGGGGGGGGGGGGGGGGGGGGGGCCCCCGCCCCGCCCCGGGGCCCCCCCCGCTCCACGGGTCCTGCCACGCGCGCCTGTCTGCCCCTGCGTGCGGGTGGGCAGGACTCTGGCTCAGCTAAGCCAGCCAGACCCAGGCGAGCTCTTCCCCTCCACCCTGCCCTGGCGCCGCTGCCTCCTTACCATTCTCCTCTGCAGCTTCCTCTGTGCAGCAAACCGCTCCTTCAGCTGCTTCCAGTACAGCACCTCCAGATCTGCACAGATGTGGGGTTTGCACAGGCCTCCGAAGTGCTTTGTTGCTTCCCCATACCCCTTCGCAGCTATGACGCGTGGGTTTTTCCCTCCAAACCTAGCAACCTACAGTGAAGTCCCCCACCCTGACTCTCTGAGGCTGTCAGTGTGCCTCCCGGGGTTCCCCTCTCACACTTTTGGGGTTACAGGCCTGTGCGGACACCTGCCCTTCCTTCTGTGTCACATCACTGCCGTAGAGACAAGCTGCGAGTTCCCCAGCTTCACTCTGTCTTTAAGTACAGGTCACGCTTGGGGGTGGAAACAAGCAAGGCTTAGTTTAGCAAGATTTACGGTTTGCTTTTAAAAAGACAAATGGTTGCAAGACTAGAAACCACAGGTTACAAGGAGAACTAGAACATCAAATGCCATCCTCATCCATCCTGAACAGCAGGGTTCTCAGCTAGCAGTTTCTGTGCTCTCCGCCTTACGCTCCCTTGGCACAGCCCTGCCACAGAGGATCTGGGCTTCGCACCCTGTAGGGTGCCCCCTTCCCTCCTGGCCTCTGTTTCCCCGTGACACCAGCTAAGCTTCCTCCTTCCTTTCAATGCAACCCCCCAAAGGCTGCACAGTGAAGTGACGCAGCAGTCAGATTGCACTGGACCAGACAACTTTGTCTTTGCTCAGATACTGATGTCACACTCAGACGGGGGAGCTAGTGATAGCTACAGGCTGGAAGAAGGGGGATGAAATGAAATTCTGTTTCTCAAACATGCACACCACCGCATCCTGCTCACCAGCAAACGTTGGTCCTTTCCTCCTGTTTTTTTTGCCGTCAGCTACGTTGTTGTCTAGGAAAACCAGAGATAACTGAAGTCAGACAGAATCGAAGGTGCCAGCCCTGTGGCTGCATCTATGAGCTCCTCGTTACTGCTGGTGCAGGGCGCCTTAAGGGCGGACACGCACACTTCAGCAGCACAGAGACAAGGACTAAATCCCACTCTGGCAAGGAACTTGGCAACGCTGAGCAAACCGCAGGCTCGTGCGGCTTTCCACCTGCACAACAGGAGTAACAGGCTGGCCTCCCTGTGAAGCCCAGCAGGGAGAACAGGCACGCGCAGGGCTGTGAGCTGCACCGAGGCGAGGGGAACAGACAGCCCATCGGTGACAACACCACTGACCACTTCTGTTATCGTAATTCCTGTCAGAGTGTGCAACAGTGCTAAGGAGACTGCCAAAGCCATCTCCTTCCCCCCCAAAACGCTTTCTCACCATGCCCAAGACAGCGACCAACAACTCCGTTGCTAGCAGTTGCCAGGAGTCTAATGGAGCTTGCTCCCACCGAGAAAAGCACAGCCTCACGTTTGGAAAAGGAGCAAGGGGCCATAGCATCCTGGGAGATCCATCCTCCAGTGGATCAAGGAGGCCACCTCTACAATATAAGAGCGGAGGGACTTCCACAGACATTTCACATTTTCAGTGGAGAATGGAAACTCAGTTTTCTGTATTCCTGAGCTTCCTCGGGGATTGACCATTACTGGGAGAAGAACAGTTCCTTCAGGCATCAGGAGAGTGCCCAGACCCAAGCCCGGAAGACACAGGCACAGCACAGCTCCTGCTATGCACCTGGCAGTAAGAAAGGACACTCAGAATCAAGTTTGTTTTCCAAAAGCTTTGGTGCCTCCAGTTTGAGGAAAACCTCAGAAATGTCAGTGTCAAAGGTACAGAGGTCTGTGCCAGAGCCTAAAAGTCGGAACTATAGGTGAGAGGAGGTGACTTGCACATCTTGCTTGCTGGGGCTGACTCAGACAAGAAGATGGCATTTTTGAAGTGTTTGCATCCTGTTAAAATTACTACAGATCAGTCAAGTAAGCTCTGCACAACTCCAGAGCACCCTCCCTGGGGCTTGGATGCCTGTTAGCCCCAAGCCAGCTGCTCAGACCCTGCCTTCTTCCCCTCCGGCAATCCCTTACAGTGCAACAAGCGGTACAAACACCATATACATTTATATTTAGGCTGCTATTATTTTATATTCTCTGTGCTTCTGTTTAAAACATGTCTGGTTATCGCAGCAAGCTGGTAGCGGACTTTCCCCAGGTTTTCAAAACCTCACTAACGCCCTGGTGAGGTGCAGAGCTCTGGCCAGATTATTCCGTTTCAGATTATTTGCCCCTTTCTCCCGGAAGCAAATACCTTGACTAAAGGTTACGTCACAAGCCTGGGTAAAGAGATCTTGAGCTAAGGAAGAGGAGCTGTTTTCCACTCAGGAAATGGGGGGAGCACACATATACGCATGCGTTCTTGAGAGACTCCAGCAAGACCTGAGACCTTGCATCAGAGCAGACATCAGTTGCTGGTGGCGGATTGGGCATCAAGGTCACTGCTGAAAAGGGCTCGGCAGACTCGGAGCATACATATCACAGCGTTTGGGCAAGTGCATTTCCTGGCCGAGAAAGACCCTGGGAGAAAACTAGTTGCCGGGTGGCAAAAGCAAAGGCCACGATACTCACAGGTGGCAGAGAACCATTTCATGAAGTCCTGAAGCTTTCTTGGGCCTTTCCTTTTCCGCTTGCTACCAGCCACTTCGTCCAGGCCGTGCGGCACCACAAAGGGCCTCCCTAGAGCCACAGAAGGCAGAGATCAGCAGCCCTGCAAGGCTAGGGTTATGCCAGGAAAGCAGTGCTGGGTGCTGCAGGGTGCTGCAGGGTGCATCCCAGGCCACTGCTCAGATGTGGGCAGGTTCAAGGTACAGCCCAGCCATCCCGGAGGATCCAGGCCGGAGCAACGAGCACAGGTTCTCCCTGCCTCTCCCCAGCCCCCTTCTCTGGCTGGGAAAGACTCACCCTGGCTCTGGGGACACTGAATGACAAGCTGCTGGGAAACGGGGCCTTACTGCTTCACCAGCCCCCACCCCCTGCTCACCCTTCCGCAGAAGGACGTGGGAAGTGCTGCGGTGTGCTCAGGGGACCAAGGCGGGAGGAGAAGAGCAACTGATCTGCATGGAAGGGCCAGCGAGGCACAGCTCCCAGGCTCTGCAGCCCACGCTGTCCTCAGCCCCTCTTCTCCCACCTGCTCACCACCAACACTCTCGGGGCAGAGGGAAGACAGGGGGGTTACAAGAAGCGCTGTGTGCCGAGACATTTGTGACAGTCTCCCAGTCCCTAAACAGTGACTTCCTCTGTCCATCACCGCCCTTCACCACGGGCTTATGGCCCCTTACAGCTGTTAAGTCTACAAGGGGGGCTGCTGAGCCAAGCCCTGGTCATGCAAGCACAGACTAAAGCCCAGGGAGCAGCCACTCTTCCCCAACCCCACCTCAAATACCTTTCTTAAATGGCTTGTCTTCAGAGTCACCAAAGGGGTCAAGGCTTTGCCATGGATCCAGCATTTCCTGGCGGAGGAAGCAAACACAGATGAACATCGTGCTTGGGCAAGCTCCCACCCGCTCTGCTCCAGGTGAAGATCTCTGCAGCACCCCTGGGTGGGCACACAGGAGCCAGCTACGTGGCTCAGCGGCTCACTCCACGATCTGCAACAGCACAGTGGGGAGGGCAGGGCAATCCTGGGGCAGCTTCCCACAGTGTCTGGGCCTTGCTCCTGTTCACACAGGATCAGCGGGGTCCCCTTCATCTCTGGCCTCTCCTACCTTGATGTGGGCTTTGGGGTCCTCAGCAGGGGCTCGTTCCCGCAGCACATACCCCTTTGCCTGGGGAGCACTCTAGCAGGCACAGAACCAGATAGTTAGTTTCCTGCAGCATCTAGCAAGAACCCATACAGCAAACCACAGGGCAGCGAGGCTTCGTGGTGGGGGAAGGGAGCAAGGCAGCTGCATGGCCTCCACTGAGCCCCTGCCCAGGCCTACCCTCTGCGGCTCAATGTGTTCATCGACAGCTGGAGTCATTTCCACATTGTCCTCTGGGACCACGGGCAAGTCATCCTCACAGTTGTCGTCGTCATCTGGTCCTGCAGCACCTGGCAGGAGAACTAAATGTTTAATAGCCCTAAGAGAGAGCCCTCTGGGATCTCTCTTTTCTACCCCTTCTGCAACAGAGTCCCACTGTGGAGTTTTGCAAACAGTGGCAAACATGGCAAGCAGACCAGCCAAAGCTGCTGAGAGGACAAGACAGTTTCACTGATAAAGCAAAGACCAGGAGCACCCTGCACGATGCAGAGCAGCAGCCGCACGAGCACACAGAAATCAGCTCGGCAAGGCACGCAGGCAGGAAGGACGAATGGCCGGATCTCCCTCCAGCCCCTCCAACCAAGCACCTCTCACCTCCATCTTCAGAGAAGTTCAGCACTGGGATGGGTGCCCCACAGGTGCTGAGACGCACGGGCTCCTTCCCATCGCTGAGAGCAGAGGACTGTGCTCCTGCCAAGGTCACAGAGGCGAGATGTTATCAACACTCCTAGTAGCAAGGCCCTCATACTGTTCTCTGCCCATAGGGGTCTCAGCTGTCAGCACCAAAGCACAACAGCCATGGTTCACAGCTGCCCTTTCCCACCAGTCCCACCAAGGCCGACCGCTGCAGGCAGCCTGCCCTGCCCTGCCCACCCACGGACGGGGGAAGGGGCGGTTGCAAGCCCCAGCCCAGGCACTGCAGCAAGAGCTGCTCTTCCAGGCAGCGCCCTATCAGTGTCTGATCCACCCCGTGCCCATGATCATCTGGCGATAACAGGCCTCTACTGTTCCGGCAGTCAGAACGCTTTTGCTGAAGGCCCAGCAGCCGCAGAAGGCCGCAGAAGTCATGTCCCCTCCACCCCAAGGAGCTGGGCTGTTTAAGAGGTCAGGGCCTCTGTCGAGGCAGAAGGCTAGCAAAGCATCCCAGTGGTGCCTCCCCCGCAGGCCACTCAATATTGCCTTCTGGCTGATTCTCAGACCGGCCCTGGCAGCTCCGCAGAGACCCTCACCCCAACCTCATACCTACTGCTCTGCTGGGGTTCCCTTCGTGGTGCCTTTCCTGTAAGAAGCATGTGGGAGAAAGGCCTGCCAGTTCCAGCACAAAGGCTCCAGTAGCATGAGGGGTGCATGTGTTCATCCGGAAATCCTTCCGGCTGGCTAGGATCTCCCCCTTCCGGCTAGGAGCAAAGAACCCATTAGGGGATCCACCCGGACAAGGGTCTGCCCTGTCTTGCTGGGAACACCCAGGTTTGAGGGCAACTGGCCTGCCACAGGAGCATGCAGGTTTTGGGCGTGAATAGAAGAGGGGCTGCCCGCAAAAGATGGGAGGAGGTCTCAGAGAGGAGTAGGGGAGCCCAGCTGCCGAGTCCCCAAAGCCACAGGGCCCTCCCTGCTCCAGCATCAATCCCAGCGCTCCTGCTGGCTTTTCTCACACTTGCCTGGCAAAGTCCAGATCAGATTTCCCATGGCAGCCTCTGGGCTCCTCCCTCCCACTGGGGTTACTCCCCCGTCCTGCCTTCACTAGCTGCAGTTCCCCTAAAGATTCACATGCATCCCAGCTCTCTGGGCCCCTTGGGATTATCCTTCCTTCCTGCCTTACAGTTTGAGTTAGGAAAGCGCTACTTCCCCTGCTATAGCGCAGGGAAAGTCAGACCCTGCTCTGACAACACGCAAAACGAGGCGGCCCAGCTAACCCTGAGGGGGCTGCCAGAGGGGCACCATGAGGTTGGATTTCACCTGAACAGAGGGTTGTTTCTCTTCTCAGCCTCCTCTGGGGGAACCAAAGCCATCGGCGTCAAGGGAACGATGTCCACAGTCTGCAAAGACAAGACAGCGGGATTGCAGCTGCCATGGCACAAGGCAGGAGGAAAAGCTGCGGCTCCTCGGCCAGGATGGGCCTTGGGGACGGCTTCCCAGCACGGCACAGACACTGCCCAGCAGCAGGAACAGGAACCCAGCACATGTCTCTGCCACGTCCCACTCCCTAGGGCTCAGGAAGGGAGGGCTCTGCTGCTGGCCAGCTGATGCCAGGAAGCAACCTCTGCGAGCGGCTAGCACTGTCCCTTGCAGAGCTTTGCTGGGATGGCAGCTGGCCCCAGGCACCTTTGGGTTTCAGCAGTAATGCTGGGAAAACCTGATAGAGAGGAAGGGCCAGAGACAAGAACAGCTTCTCTTACATTGGGCTGATGATCCTTCCTCATGTCCACGCTCGCCTGGCTGGTGTCCTTGATGTCATCCAGGGAGAGGAACTGCTGAGAGAGATCCACACCAGTGAACACCCTGGTAGGTAGGGCCTGGTCCGCTGGGCCACACATGGCTGCCACCATGCGAGTGGGACAGAACCAACAGAGCTACAGCTAATGGAGCTGCAGCTTTTGCGCCGCTGTACTCGCACAGCAACTAGGTTGGTTTGCGCAGTACTCTCAGAAGGCAGTTATCAGACGGGCAGGAAACTGCCACGGGGGAGGAAGGAGAGCAATGAACAAAGCAGCGTGCCCACTGTTGCGGAGAGGGCCCACTGCCAGCCCTCCGCTAGGCCCCAGCCAGTGAGCCGCTTGCAGACCCAAAGGGTGGAAACCTGAAGGACAGAAGCCCTGAGATACTGCCTGAACTAAGGATTAAGAAACAGAAGGTTAAGCCACAGGGCGGACGGAGGTCCCCAGCTGCAGACCAGGGACCCCCACCTCCCAGGAACGAGGGAAAGGGGGCTAACTTTTCCAGGAGGGCTGCCACATGGCATATCACTCCTTTTGCGGGCCAGCACAGGAGCTGCGTGACAAAAGTTCACGTAGTGCTCTGACCACGTCTGGCAGCAGAAGGGGGTGGTGTGGGGCTAAATGTCCTCTGCTAGGGAACAGCTGCCTTCAGCTTGCCTGCTGCTTTCACAGTCCAACAGCTGAAAGCAGCTCTGCCTGTGCACGCAAGCCACTGATCACTAGCCCGCCTGGGATGAGGCACAGAGGGACCATACTCCGCAACGACTGTCTCACCTCTTCCTCCTCAGTCCCAAAGCTTGCATCAGCATCTTTGCCATCCTCCCCCACAGAGCTGGGCTGCTTTTCCCGTCTGAGTAAGAGAGCAAAAATACAAGTGGTCACCAGTCAGAATCTGCCCAGGGCACTGGCCTGACACCAGCAAAAGGCACAGGAAAAGCAATGGCAGGTTTCCTCCAGCCCAGCTGTGGGCCATATGGCAACAGCTGCAAGGATCTAAACCTGAGAAAAAACTTCTTCACTGTGAGGGTCATAGAGCATTGGAACAGGTTGCCCAGAGGCGTAGTGGAGTCTCCTCCCCTGGAGATATTCAAAACCCGTCTGGATGTGATCCTGGGCAATGTGCTCTAGAGGACCCTGCTTGAGCAGGGAGGTTGGACTAGATGATCTCCAGAGGTCCCTTCCAACCTCAACCGTTCTGTGATTCTGTGATCTCTAAACACGATCTCTTAGCAGAGGCTCCCAACAATATAGAGACATTATAGCCTAACTGTAATTGCTGTTCTGCAGCCACATCGTCAATTCGTCCTCCTCATGAGAGCTAACTAACCTGCTCCTGGTGTTCATCTGCTCCTGCCAAGGAAAAGGGCGCAGGTGGCTGGGAAGGAACTGGAATGTGAGGGAAGAGGGGATCCAGCCTGACCAACAAATCCCATCTTTAACAAATATGCTCTACCAATTCCAGCTCAGAAGCTCAGTTACCAAAACAGAAAAGAAAAACTCAATTTAAGGCAATCACGTGGCATGGAAATAATTGTCCGAGACATTCAGAAACTTCTGTCGCAGCTTCGTCTCGCTCCAGCCCAAGCAGAGCCTCGTCCAAGTCTTGTGACCTTCCCCAACAAGCTATTGGCAAGATTTCTTGCAAGTGGAGTTTATGGCTGGGCAAAGGAGAGGAAGGATGGTTCATTCAGGAAGCTTGTTTGCATGGCTCGAGCCAAATACCTGTTGGAAGCCACGTGCATCACGAAAACTTTGTCTTTTCTGCACACTTCAGTTTGAGCGCAAACATAACTGCCAGTCTTAAACTGATCTCTCATTAATGGAGAGCCTGTTAAAAACATGGGCCAGGTTGGCAAGAGACAAGTTATATGAGAGAGTTTGAAAACAGTAGTTTGAACAGTAGCACCCCACTTCAGCAGCAAGTGGAAAACAAATCACAAGCTTCTTTGCCACAGTGGTGGATCTATTTCATACTGAGATTTACTATGTGGGATGCTGGGGCACTGTCCTTTCTTTACGTAACGACACAGCAACGCAACAACAAAACCACGAGATGATGCCACTGGTAACGCTCTGGGGGGTGAGAATCATCCCGAGCTAAAGCCCTGGACTGAAAATATATCCTACCAGGAGCCTTTCATGCTACCAAAAAGAGTCCTTCAGCTTCAAGGATCTTTTTATGGGGCTGGAAACCCCCGCTGTAGCAGGTTGGTTGGTTTGTTTTTTAAAGAGATGACTGCCCTGAGGGAGGAGCGCGCACTCATAGCAGAAGCGAGGCTCAGAGCTGGAGCAGAGTCAGGGACTCGGTTCCCACAGGTGGATGGGGGCAAGTCACAGCCTCACCAATAAAACAGCGAGCAGTCAGGGCAAGAGCCACC